GTGATTAAGTTTGAATAAAAGAAAGCATTTCAATTACATTTACACAGAATAACAACTAAAAACTAGGTTGTATCGATTATGATCTATACTATATGAGAAAGTTTCATAAAATCTTACCACGTTTCAAGGAATATTTAAACCACACAAAAAGACCTAGTCATTCTCTGTAGAACTCAACACTCAAGTATCCAAATAATTCAAAAATAAAAACATTTGTCCAACTGTAAAGAAAGGTAAATGGATGAAACACTTTGTGCATTGCTGAATCGTACCGCACTCAATCGAACATAACGCTACCCATCCAACTTGAACCATCTCTTTAAATAACCACATTTAGACCTGTTCAAATCTCACATTATAAACAAATAAAAATTGAAGGGAATTCAAAGAAAAAATTTTTCTCTTTTCGATGAAATAATTTACTTAAACTGTACATTTGCATTTATGGTTGTTTGGTAAATATATGTCTATATAAAGATTTCATTATAAAGTGATTCGAGATTTCAAATATCAAATGAAGTTGTGTAATAATAAGGGGGTAAGAGAAGGATAGGAGGATAAAAATAAATTACGAGCCATAATTATTGTCTTCTCAAGTAGGCCTACCACTCATGGATGTGTTAAGGATAAGCTCCCGCTTTGAGTCGAATCGATGTGCATCTATAAATATACTTGCTTCTATGGGGTAGGTTACATTGGCCATACAAAGAGATCACTTTCCAAACGCATTTCAGAACATTGATTGGCATGACTTTTAAGAACGGAATGCAAAACAATCACCATTTCAATACAGCACCACCTAATCAACTCTGTACTCATCACTCCAAAGAACACTTCCTTCAAAATAATCTACACAATCAAAGGAACTGTGGACTGAAGGGAAACCGAATCAAATACTTATGCAATGCTGAAGCGTTAGCGATACTATATTTATTTATTTTAACACATAGATATTGGTACAAGGAGGCACCAAATAGATATGCGCCACACATATCTTATTTGATATGTGTGAGGGCTGTGATACTGCTCGGGTGCCCAAACCGAAGCAGGTGGTTTTCTTAAGGGACCACACTCGGAGCCTTTGATCTAAAGGTTTAATCCACAAGGCAGTGGAGCAACGTCGGGAGATATAGTTCCATGGCAGCCGGTGACCAACAATAGGTTCATACACTATTTGTTCCCTTAGGATACTGGAGCTCATATGAATGATTAGTTTGGAATCAGGGTTTTCCAACTCCTCAAGGTGGACTCTCCGTGTCTACCAACCCAGTTAAAGTATCGGTTATTCGCTTTTTGTCCTCTCAATTTTGTAAACAACACCCCCGCCACGATTAGGCAGTGAGTAAGATTTCCCTGGCAGAGGCTATATACGTGTGGCCATGTGAGAGCATTTGGAGAGGGAGAGCGGACTCTCCCCATTCTAGGCCGTACCAGGGCATTTGGGGGCAATGGAAAACCTGAAGCACTGGACGGCCGTTTCGTCCTAGTATGGGACTCCTCAGCAGTGCGCATCCACTACCCCACACCCCGCGAGATTCGAACCCAAGACATATCAGTCTCGCGCCAGGCGCTTAACCAACTAGACTACTGAGCCAAGCTATGCGATACACTTATGCAAGACCGAATTTCGCATACAAAACGACATATCCAAACTTTTATCTTTCGTTGGCCCTAATTCACTTCTGCAGTATGTTTTGACCTTGTTTTATTTTTATTATTATTTTGTCATTTTAAACCATAATACGGTTATTATTATCCTTTAATAGTTTCTCATGATAATTATTATATCGTTTCATTTTTCTTCATATTACCTTTAACCCAAGTGACATCATCGTTATAGTCAAACTTTATTGTATGTACTAGATAATTGAGTTCATTTTATATCTGTACTACCTAAACTTATGTTAATTATTAAAAATGAATTACATCAAGTCATAGAAAGTCAAGATTTAAACTTACTATTTATTGGAATATTACAAATACATTATTATTTTATCATAATAGTCAGTCAGTCAGTCAGTAACAACATAGAACTTCGTACTTACGTACATACATCAGTTCGAGTTGCCATACCATATCAGCACAGGGAATTTTATCATAATAAATAATCTATCTAATGCTTAAGTTAATTTTAAATTACTAAGTTCAACCCCGTTAGTGATGCTTACATAATAACTAAGGCATCATATAATAATAATAATCTAACTCAATTATATCAAGTAGATACTCTTGAATCTAACTGTAAACAAATTCAGACAGTATTTCAATGTAATCTATTATATGATTAAACAAAATGAATGAACTAAATAATATGTAATTAAAATTGTAACCTGTAGATGATAAACGTATTAGCCGAATTCCTGAATAACAAGTCATAATAAACTCATGAATTAATCCAAATAGTACGAAACCTAGATCTAAGGTTTCCTTTCAACTATACCTCCAACCACCACATTATATCTTAATATAGCTACACACGAGTCGCCTAGACCAGTGACTACATTGCAAATTGATCGATAGAATTCGATCCACACTAAAAAGGTCCTGATATATATGACATTGGTCAAAATGAGTAAAAGAATAAATGAAGACAATCAACCATAATAAAACTGATATCATACTTGAGCACTAACCAAAACAGATCATTTCTATATAAGGTAGGTGTGTTGTGTTGATGATGTTGTTGTTGTTTAGGACGAAATTTATTTAGACAATTAAGTCAGAGCGGTTATCAATGTATAAATTGAAAGAGTTGTATATTGTTTTAGAAGTTCAAATGATTTGAAATGATTTTTGACACTATGAATGAAACTCCACCTGCAACTCTTCTAGAGCTACTGCCGGTCCCAAGCCCGAGTAAAAGAGGAGGGTTTGGGATGGAATTAGTGACCCGAGCTCGTAGAAAACTGACTCGCTAAAAAAAACACTAACCAGGAATTCACTCACTAACTGAGAAATAATTCAATGATCATTCAAATCAGGCTTATCTACTAAGAATACAAATTCATTTAATAGATGACACCAAAATAAAGACAAACAACAGATCAAAATTTGGAATCATATAAAACAGAGTAAACGAAATCTCAAATGATCTCATTCATTTTAGAATTTATATATAATACAATCGAAAACTATAGTAAGTAGGAACATTGTCTTCACTACCTTGTATTCTGGAACTATGTTTGATATAATCGAATTCCAATGAGTTAAATCATCTGTACAACTCTAATCTAAGTTATGATGGATCAACAAACATTACCCAATCGTATACAATAATGAAAACTGTTTGGAAAATTGTATCTCTAAGAGAATGATGTAATATTATGCCTATCCAATATGAAGTATATGTCAGTAATGAGCGATCAATCGAATTGAGACAATATGACCAATGTAATCATGATCTGAACAAAATCATACATAATCTACACAAGCTATTTAAATATAAGTTTATCCTAATTGATTCAGTAAAACATAAGTCAAGATTTTACGAAGCAACGTATGTATCGAACAATACGGACAGAGATGATATTGGCTTTGTTATGTCTGAATACCAAAATTACTTATTTTAATCATTGTTTTTTTGCACTTTTTTTCCATATTCAAAATACTAACATACTATGGCATTATTATTATTGATGGTATAATGCAACGTGTAACGTTTAGGAATGAAACTGATATGTTCATACTACATAGATAATTGATGTGGAATCGACTCCAAGTTCTACAGGTCACGCATCGAACTTCTGATCAATAGAACCACCAGGTTGATATCCAATAGTACAATTTCAGCTTCATGCATCACAGTTTGCAAAGATGGCATGACTGAAAAAATCCTCTATCAGCCCATGAATCAGATTGGCTGCTAAGATTTAAGATTTCAGGTGCATAACCTTAGTGTGAAAACACTGAACAGAAATATGAAATAAAACTGCAAAGCACGTTTAAACAACATTATTACATGCACGATTTATTTATTTATTTTAACACATAGATATTGGTACAATGAGGCAACAAATATATATGCGCCATACAGATCTCATTTGGTATGTGTGAGGGCTGTGATACTTCTCGAGTGTCCAAAGAGAACCAGGTGGTTTTCTTAGGGGGCCACACCCAGAGTCTTCGACCTGAAGGTCTGATCCACAAGTCAGTGGGGCAATTTAAGGAGATGCAACCCCACAGTAACTAGTGACCAATAATTGATTCATATGCCATTTTCTCCTTCACGATACTGGAGCCCATGTACACCATTGGTTTGGAGTCAGGGTTTTCCAACTCACCTAGGTAGACTCTCCATGTTCACCAACCCGGTTAAAGCGCCGGATATTCGCTTTTCGTCCTCTCAATTTCGTAAACAACACACCCGACGCGAGAAGGCAGTGAGTAAGAATTCCCTGGCAGTGGTTGTATGCACGTGACCATGTGAGAGCATTTCGAGAGGGTAAGCTGACTTTCCCCACTCTCGGCCGTACCAGGGCATTTGTAACTGTAGAAAAAAGGAACCCACGAAAATGAAAATACAAGTAGAAGGCTTTTTTTAAAAATTATCATCATCATTCCTCGCAATTGGAGTGTGGGTCATATCCAAGTACCTGGTGAACATTGTATTGACTCGCAGTGTGGTGGACGCACTTAGAGGCCAAATGAATAGATAGTTCAGATGATAGAACACACTGGAAGATGCAAATGGATGTTTGAAGGTTATGTATATGTATTATGTAAATACTTAGTAACTTTTCGCAATAAATACACCTTTCTCTTGCTTATTGCCATCTTAACAACATCATTGCATTAATTCCAAAAGTATTTCTCAAATCGACAATTTATTTGACCTTAAAGATCCCATTTACGCTTAGCCACCACTTTCATATATAGCTTAGAAGACACATGGAATAAATAAGTTCACTGATGTCACATAAGAAACAAAACATATAAAGAAATTTGATTAGATGATGTTCATATTGAGAGCAAATTACGAGAAAAAAGAGAAATAAACTTACGTCACTTGATCATCTCTGTAAGTAGGCAGAGAATTTCCAGTGTCTCCAACATACGGTAGGTAATATAGCTATGAAAGTTATAAAATACACTAGAGTATATAAGTAGAAAAGTAGACAAATACTAGTAATATTATTATCATCATCAGTTGAGTCCACTGACTTAGTTTGTGAAATTTAAGGCAAAACATTGTGAATTACCACAATTTGCAAATATATGAATCATTGAATGCTTGCTAAGTTATCTGGAAGACCTCAAGATCCTGAACTTGGCCACTGCCTTGGTTGCGGGTTTGAACTAGGGCGAAACAAGTACGTAATGAAACCCAGGTTTCGATAATTATTCAATTAAAGTCAATTTATAATATAAACTATCATCAATGCAGTATCTCAGAAAGTAAATTCATTAGGATCATAGATTAGTTTTGTGTAAAATTGTGAACATTCTTGGCAATATTTCTGCACTGACGATTCCAAACTATTTTTATCACTCTACTATTGAAAGTATAAAATCTTGATTTCAATTAAAATCTTTATATCAACCTCTTTATAATTATTATTGATGTTAAGCATAGGGTACTAGGTAAAAATATCGAAATCGGTTGATGAGGATGTGAATTTTCATCCACTGAGGTGGTCGAAACATGTATAACGTATGTCTAACCACTACCTAACTTGACGTGCAATGTTATATAGCACAGGAGTAATTTGGAAAAATATTAGAGGTTAACAAACAAAAATGTGACATCAATCCATGAAGTCATTGACTGTTGGTTAAACCCATGTTGATAAATACAGATTACACGGGTGGGATATGCTCGACTAATGATTGGGTGACATGGCTCAGAATCGCGCAGACATATTCACTAGTTAATTTTATCCAGATCTTGAGTTCGTGTATTCTTTCATACATACCTTTTCATTCCATCTTCTCAAACAATATTTTTTCAATGTTTAATCCATTTCACTACTATTACTACTAAAATTATTTTGACTCTTCTATTATTTCATCGTTACATTCACTTGACCTCATCATGTTGACGAAGAAAAGCAACTTGAGCTAACGCACTTTTGTGCCGAGCCCTGTGTTAATTACTACAATTTATAAGGATTGATATTTCCCAATTATTTACGTTCAGCACTTCATATGATTATAATCTCCTTAAATGTACATAGAAAACAGATATATTCAATTAATGACGAAATGTATCAGAAGGGGTTTTGTGGATATTATAGTTATTTCAATAGTTGATATCGTGAGTCAATTGAAGCTAGACCACCATGGAAAACCTGAAAGCACTGGATGGCCGTTTTGTCCTATTGTGGGACTGTTGTGAGATAGTAACTCACTGATGACAATGGTGGATGTATCACTCAATTTCGTGGATTAGTTCAAGTTAGACCTTAACACCACTGGATTACTATTATTATTATTATTGTAAGTAACCAGATTAATCAGGATTATCTAAGTTTTATTAACTTTGTAAATGAACATACGACTAATAATCATAATTGACAGAATGTTTAGCATGTTAGCAGGATTTCAATCAACAACTTTCAAGTTAACCATTTTGTGTCCAAAATATTGTTGGTTAGTAATTATAGTCATTTTAACAGTATTATTAGTTGTTAAAGTCCCTTAATTTTAGTTATGACATATTTATACCTTTCCCATTTATTCACTTTCTATTGAGTGGCCATATAAAAGTCAGGAGATCATTATTAATGTAGGACGTGGGATGAATATGTATCAATCTAAATAGCCACGTCTTTGATTGTTCCATCTCACTCCTATACCAGCCAACATTCTACTGAAGAGTGGTTAGGGATGCATAGTACAGTTAATGAAGGTTTATAGCCCTATCAAAGGATTTGGCTTTTTTTTACCTAGTACTATATCCCCAATCACAGCATTACTCACTCCTACAACCGTTTTTTTACTAAAACTGTGACAACTTTTATCAATCAGTCAGTAACAACGTGCAACTTTGTACGTACGTACATCACTTCACGTTGCTATACTAAATTAACACACAGATACAATTGTCGATTTAAATCCCATTGTGGTAGAGATAGTAAAAGTATAAGCAGTAATCAGAAGGATTAGAGTTTGAAGATGTTATTCAACAAGTACAATTCAGTGAAACAAATTCGGAAAGAGAATAAATAGGAGCATGAATAATTCAGAAGATTAGAATTTGGAAGAACACAAAGAGTGGATGCACATGTGCCATTACAAACGATTTTCAGCAATGTCATTCAACGTCTCTAACCATCGATTGCTATCGTCTCGTGGATTCCAACCAGATAGTCTACATCTACCAACATGGCTCAGTTCACTTGTCAGTCACTTCATGGATTTCTGTCATGTTCTGATGTGGCCACCCTAGCTTTCTTCCGACCTACTCCTACACCACAAAACATCGCACGTCGAGGCAGTCGGTGGTTGGGCATACGTAACACGTATCCCAGCCATCTCAACTGATGAAGTTTCACTACTTCATCAATTGATTTGCCATCCTTACCTATTAACCGCTTCCTAACAACTGCATTACTTACTCGGTGGTCCCAGGATATACGAGCAATGCTTCAAAGAAACCTATGATCGAATACTAGTAACCTCTAATGAATAAACGATAATTTAGTTTCATATATATTGGAAAGCGATATCAGTTTGAGAATAATCAAAACGTTGGGAAATTTTTTCGATTAGAGTTAAAATTTTAATTCCAATAAATACTTTTGCAGGTTATTTAGATCTTACATTCCTTCAATCAAATAATGAATAGAGTTCTGATGGAACGTTGTGTTCAATGGTGTTGGATATAAAGTAAAATCACCGACAACAATAGATGATAATTGGATAATATCACGAATTGAGTGAATTGAAAGATATATGGTGAGACAACACGTGGACGTAATTAGGGAGTTTCCAGAACATCCCGAAAAGTACGTATTTAAATATTCTTCTATTAACCTTTCGTCAAGCCAAATGCAGGTCTTATCATTGTGTCCCAAGTTCTGTAACAGCACCTCCAAAACCAATAGACTTCATACTCAAATGCAATTCGAAAATCTATCAAACCAAACTCATGATCATGTGCCGACATCCCCACAAGATCTTCAGCATTTTAAATCCACATTAGTAGATTGTAGTCATGGATACATTAATATACAATGTGGTAAGAATAACTTATTAACTAAGAACCATTTGGACCAGTTAATGCTCCTGAAAACTAATAAAAATTTGATTCCAAATAAACCTTACAAAGGAACTGGTGTAGTACTACTTGACCGCCAAGAATATTTGGATAAAATGAGGTTAATCCTAGAGGATGTTACTAAATTTTCCAAACCTAAAGGAGGAGTTGACAAAACACTGCAAATTGAAAAACAGCTAACAGATGTTGTCAAAAATCTTAAGAATAAGAGGATAATAACCCCAGACTTATATGATCACATACTTCCGATGGGTTCGATCATCCCGCGCTTATATGGACTACCGAAAGCACATAAACCTGGTTTACCGTCACGACCTATTTTGGATATGTCGAGTTCATCATATCATCGAATCGCCCAATGGTTGGCTGAAAAATTGGAACCAGTTAGAAGGCAAGTATCTAAATATTCTATTCTATTTATTGATCGTATTAAGGAGGTTAGTACTTCCGGAAAACAAATGTTCTCGCTTGACGTTAACTCTGTTCACTAGTGTACATTTAACCGAAACCATATGCTATGTATGTGACTATAATGATTCTAACAACATAGATCTAGTGTGTGCTATCTAGGTTTGCTGACTAACCACTTGAAAGAACTATCGTTACGTTATACTTTTAATGACCAGTTCAGTCGCAACAATAAAATATATACACAAATAGATGGGATCGCAATGGGGTCCAATTTTAGCACTGTTTTATGGCAAAATCGGAAAACGACCAACTCAATTCGTTGACTAATCGATTTCGTCTATGCGTAAGAGACATGGACAACACATTTGTCGTTTGTGACGATAATATTGAATTAGAAGATATCTTACACACCTTCAACACATACAACCCTTCCATAGACTTAATGTTAGAAAGTGAGCGAGACCAGTCAATCTCTTCACTCAGTGTGCGTCTGATGAGGAGTAACGGTTCCTTAAAAAGATACATATTTAGAAAACAAACATGGAATGGCCAGCTGACCAGCCTCCATAGCTGGGTTCCTTTAAGCAGAAAGAGAAATCTCATTCACTCTTTATGTTATCGAATACATCAGATATGCAGTACGGAATGTATTAACGAAGAACTCGCATTCCTTAGGAAAATTTTGACGAAAAATGGTTATCCAGACCGCTTTATAGATAAGAATATGAAAATAATTAGTTGTGACAAGGAATCTGGTTGTTCCGTACCAAAGAAAAACCTCTATATAAGTTTGGAATTTAAAGGTGATTGAACATCTGATGTAATCAAAAACCGTTTAACGACAGAGATTGAAAGAACATTCGAAGCGGCAAAACTGTAAATAACGTTCAGTAGCAGGAACTTATTTTCTGTATGCACAAAAGATAAGCTTCCCCATCTGGTCACCTCCATGTGCATCCACCAGTTCACCAGCTAGTGTGGAGCAAGGTACATTGGCCGTAGCCAGCAATCGCTTTCAACTAGGATATAGGAACACGTTCCAGTTTGGTTCTACAAGGGTGAGAAGAATGCAGTTAGGAGTTCTATACTTGAACACCTAATCGACTGTAATCATTCTACGGACCCACAGTTTGATTTTAAGGTTGTATATACGATTCGTTCAAATCTACCTACATTTCTTCGTATCCAACTACGAAAAATAGCTGAAGCTCTTAACATTCATGAGCGGAAGCCAGAAATATGCGTACAAAAGAAGTACGTCCTATCGTTATCGTTAACTTGGCCTTTATTATTATTATTACGGCATGCCCCCTTTACTTATGTCCCATATTCTCATTATTTTGTTCATAAGTACTCATCGTATCACTATTTTTTAACGCGTCTATGACCTTTAGTTATTGTAACAAAAACATTTTAGTCATCTGACTACATCCATGGAATAATAAAACACTTTAAAAATTCGAAGAAAAAAAACATTAACTAACAGAAGTGATTCACTTACAGTACTTAGTGCTACGAAAAATCCTAATAGTCCACCACCAAGTACATCAGACCAATGATGTTTATTATCGATAATACGTGAATATCCAACAACTAATCCAAGAGCGACATAAATCATTTGAAAACATGTTCTTACACCTGGATACATGCGAGAATGTGAAAATCTCAGTTGAATATAAAGCTGGAAAAAAAATAAAATAGATGACTGTATGATCAGAGGTGAAAGGTATTTTTAACAATGCATTATGAATAAATGTCTTTTGGAAAAGGATTTTTCGAAATGATGCAGTCAGTCAGTCAGTCAAACAACGTGGAACTTCGTACATACGAACATCAGTTCAAGTTGCCATATTACATTAGCACACAGACACAATTGTCGATTTAAATCCCATTGTGGTAGAGATAGTAAAAGTATAAGCAGTAATCAGAAGGATTAGAGTTTGAAGATGTTATTCAACAAGTACAATTCAGTGAAACAAATTCGGAAAGAGAATAAATAGGAGCATGAATAATTCAGAAGATTAGAATTTGGAAGAACACAAAGAGTGGATGCACATGTGCCATTACAAACGATTTTCAGCAATGTCATTCAACGTCTCTAACCATCGATTGCTATCGTCTCGTGGATTCCAACCAGATAGTCTACATCTACCAACATGGCTCAGTTCACTTGTCAGTCACTTCACGGATTTCTGTCATGTTCTGATGTGGCCACCCTAGCTTTCTTCCGACCTACTCCTACACCACAAAACATCGCACGTCGAGGCAGTCGGTGGTTGGGCATACGTAACACGTATCCCAGCCATCTCAACTGATGAAGTTTCACTACTTCATCAATTGATTTGCCATCCTTACCTATTACCGCTTCCTAACAACTGCATTACTTACTCGGTGGTCCCAGGATATACGAGCAATGCTTCAAAGAAACCTATGATCGAATACTAGTAACCTACGAATTTTCTATACTCTTAACGGCCACGTTTCACCTTAGCCATAAATGACGCAAGTTGGCAAAAGCTAGTCGAGCCTTCTATATCCGTGCTCAGATCCCGTCACACACCAGACCACAAGGGCTGATGAGACTCCCAAGATAAATGGAGCGGTCGATACACTCAACTACTTCACTCCCTATCACTAGTTCGGGTGTCGATGTAACCCAATCCTGAAGCAACATTTTGCATTTCGAGGGAGAGAATCGCATCCCGAACATGCTTGCATAGTTGCTTAGAGTGGTCAGAAGACTCTGCATTTTGTCAGCGTCTTCACCAAATAAAACTATGTCATCAGCATATTCTAAGTCAACAAGTGAACCTCCCGGTAGAAGTTCAACCCCTGGAAATTTAGATGAGGAGAGTGTTATCTCTAAAAGTACGTCGACCACAAAGTTGAACAAGAATGGGGAGAGTGGACAGCCCTGACGAACACCACTTGAGGTAATCAATTCTGATGACAGTTCGACATAAGCTCTTACTCGACCAGTTTTGTTCGAGTAGAGAGCCTTTATAAGGTTAATGTACTTCTTTGGTATTCTTTTCAGTGACAAACACTGCCATAGAACCTCACGATCAACAGAGTCAAATGCCGTCTTAAGGTCGAAAAATACTATGATTATGGGGCGTCTGAATGTGTGTCTGTTTTAGGACTTGACGTGGTGTGAATATCTGGTCTATACAGCCACGTCCAGGTCGAAATCTAACCTGCGATAATCTATTTCCTGCAGAATAAGTAGTAAGAACTAGTAAAACACAAGATTAGTCACTACTTAGTAATCAATCAACGTAAATACTTCAATTTTACAGGTCAGTCACAGACCAAATAGCTCGATGGTAATATCTAAGACAGTAAAACTGAGTGACGCAGGTTTAAACTGCACTGATAGCATCAGTGCCCTCGAGACTGTAAGTGTGTCTTGATGACAGCTGAAAAATAGCAAGAAACCTAGGTTCAGTGCTTCCAGCTGACTACCTTCAACTATCTGACATCTAAACACGGAAAGATTCAGAAAGTGATTTGTTATTGAATTAACTTAATGGTTAATAATGGCCATAATATCAATGTAATGGAGGGTTTTATTGGTTTGATGAACGAATTACCGATCGTTAAAAAGAATACAGGTTGATAGATTATCTGCAATGATACTACGTGATCGATTGATAGTTGCTCAAGAGACGGGATTACTGACCCAAACCCCAGAACGATTTAAAGTCAAGCACAAGACCACTAGATAGAATAGTTTTTTTCATGTAGTAAAATAACATGTTTCTATACAGAATATGAACACAATAAACATAACATAGCATAGGCAATTAGAGGAAAAACAACTTGTAGGTCACTAACTCTGTAATCAATCACGACCTTACTGCTGGCGTAAATCTTTGGACATCGTATCAAATTCGCAGTGACTCTCCATCGACTTTGTTATATCATTACTTTTGACCATTGTACTATTGCGCGAACTGAAATTTTCATCTATAATCCATTCTTTCTGAACTGTATTTAATTTTCAGTTCATAATATGTACCTGGTGATCAGATTTGACTCAGTTAAAAGTATTTTGATAAATTCAATCTCTAATTGGATTAATGAATGAGTAATAGTCCCCACTTATCCATAATAACTGATATTCTTATCCCGTCGCCAATGTTGTGAATTACGTTTGGGTACGGTAATTTCAAATTACAAACGTTTAGAAGATTCTTAAATGAAAGAAATCTACGCGAACTAAATAGACTGGACGACTAATACACAACGCCTTGACAATGATATCCAGCGTGATTGGAAGAAAGAGAAGTCTTGTAAGGAAGATGTATTGATGAAAATCTCATAAGAATTAATTTACATCCGCATTAATTCAATTATTTATAGATTATTAAATTGGTACATCGGTACAAAGAGGCACCAAATAGATAAGCGCCACATAAATCAGTCGATTTGTGTTAGGGCTGTGATACTACTCGGGTGCCCAACCGAACCAGGTGGTTTTCTTAGGGGGCCACACCCGGAGCCTTTGACCTGCAAGTCTAATCCACAAGGCAGTGGAGCAACGTCAGGAGATGCAATCCCACAGTAACTAGTGACCAATAATTGATTCATATGCCATTTTCTCCTTCACGATACTGGAGCCATGTACACCATTGGTTTGGAGTCAGGGTTTTCCAACTCCCTCAAGTGGACTCTTCGTGCCCACCAATCCGGTTAAAGCGCCGGATATTTGCTTGTCGTCCTCTCAATTTCGTAAAAAACACCCCGACGCGAGAAGGCAGTGAGTAAGAATTCCCTGGCAGTGGTTGTATGCACGTGACCATGTGAGAGCATTTCGAGAGGAAAGCTGACTTTCCCCACTCTCGGACATACCAGGGCATTTGGGAGCAAATTATTAAATAATTATTAGCTACAGAATTTATTAACTGAATAATCACCACTCAAACACAAATCATACAGAATTGAAAATAAAATCAACTGATTCCATAATGCATAAATCGAGAAGTGAAAATGCACTGAAAATCAATAAATGAAGTCCTCCTTAATGTAGTACTTGAAGATTCAACATCCGCAAAAAATAATGATTGATTTTAAATAAAGTCTTTCATTAACAGTTTTTTATATCATCGGTTACGCTGCTATGCATATGAAAATTTCGCTGCACTGACTTTCGTGGACGAATTATATTAAATCTCGAAAATACTTTTTTTAACCAGCATAAATAACAATATTTTGTATAATTCATCTGATCATGAGATGGTGGAAAAGATTTGTAGCTGAGGTGGATGATTTTGACGGAGTTTTGTTCTCTGAGCTGAACTTCTATCTGAAGTTTGTGCTTATGATGTCTTTCAGAAGAACGATGAAAGCTCCATGACCAAACCATCCAGCTCAGAGAACAAAACTCCATCAAAATCATCTGATAATCCTATAAAAAAGATATTAACTAAAGTTTTAACATTAAATTCATTTTTTTCAGACGTATTATCTGGTCGTTCTTGAAACCAAGAAGTAGGGGCTAATTTTCTAAAACAACATTAAAAAACCAAAGAAAACAAGAAGATATTTACTTTATCTAACCATGTAAACTGATAGATGTTTATTACTTAGTTAGCAATTCCCTAATTATGGACTACAGAGGAATTTTGACGAATAATGACCATACGCTCCACTCGCAACTGATTCAGAGATGGAAGACAAACATTGACTAATATATTTACTAAATAAACATTTAGACGACACAGCCACCTATCATGCATTAAAAATAAATCGACTTTCAATGTTGGACGGATTATGGTTATACAAACAATCCAATGGTAAAATCTTATAAGCGATAAAAACAGAGAACATCTTCAACAAACTACTCAAAATTTCAAATACTCGATCACAACCAGAACGAAACTCATGACCTACGGGTTTTGAAGTGAAAAAAGCAAACACAGTTATAATTCTGTGATCTACGGTTCGGTCATTCAATTATAATCACCGTTAGGTATTATTTTTAACATGGAATGATATCCGATAGGAAATCAAGGATAAGCACAAAACGATAAATAGTAGTTTTTTCCAGTCTTAGCGACGGTTATGAAGGTGAAATTTTAACCACTTTAGCTAATAAAGTCAGCACATTCAAACCGTACAACTAGATAACATTCAAGCTACCATGCTTTAAAAGTCAGTAAAACTATATACATTTTTAAAAAAATATAGTATTTTAAGTTAACTGAAAAACTGACTGAAGTGTAAAGATTAGAGGGGTGGCAAGCATATTTCGTTTAGCTGCTTAACTATGGTATAAGCTCTACTGGAGCGTTGGTTCGAACCCGTTACCTAAAGTCAAGATCAGCAGTCCGATAGTATCACTAACCCATGCAAAAACTGTCTAAAGGCTGAGTATATGAACCTGTTACTTGGTTATTGAATCAAAAACCCATTCCACTGAAACTAAATAAGAAAAAATATGACAACTTAAGTTCGTCTAAAAATCACAAAAATGTATGGTTCTGAAAAAGTAATTAGGTTAACTCACACATAGAAATATAGCGGTATATATTGCGATGGAGGTATGTCCAGATGGGAAAGATTTTCTATACATATAAAATTGGAATGAAATCAACAAAAAATAATGTAAGATAGAAGTGATAAAAAATTGATTGCAATTATTAGATAGCACCTACATAAACCCGTACGCATCGTGTAAAGACAATAAAAAGTCAGTATCATACTGCTGATAATTATAACGATTTTCCAGTTGAAGTTATTTGTTTATTCAATACCTCCAATTTGAAATGTATATAATTAAAAGGCCATAAAGTTCATGAAGAGACCAGTAATTCTTATGTCGCACAAAGACAGAACTGAGCTGAGTACATACTGTTGTTGAGCAGACTAGATAAATTAAGCACTTTTTATGTCACTGAAGCTCTCCGTGAAATCACTGTGTCTGAGTAGTGTAAGTAGGTCTAGACTATATTATTAGAATTTGAGGGATAATCGACATCAGCGGGTAGGAAAATACCTGAAAAATATCTTTCAAAAGGACGGCTACCTAATCAACTTCATCAAAAAATACCAGCCAAACGCAACGGCAGAAAAAAATTCAAGTACAGAAACCAACAAAAGGATCATCCTGCCATATATAAAAGGCATATGAGAAACTAAAACGAGATTTTTGAAGCCTTTTGGAATAGGTGTAGCACACAAACCAACAAATAACTTCAGTCAATCTTATGCAAACCAAAGGATGGAATGATAAAGGAAGAGAAACCGAACATCAACCACAAATAAATTGTTCCAACTGAGAAAAACACTACATTGGACAAAGCGGACGCCCTCTTCATCTTTGCCTGCATTAACTTATATCAATGCATGTGGACAACAGTAGATACGCATTCGACTGGAGAGACGTTAAGATCTTGGATAGAGGAAGTTCTAAAAACATCAGAGAATTTTTAGAAGCTTGACATTCAGGTCAGTCAGTAATCAACAAACACATTGAAATCAATGTAATTTATCAACCATTCAGAAAAATTATGGACAAATATAAACCAAAAATCAAATCAATGGGAGATACAACCAAATAAAGTAGATAATGGCAGGTTAAAGGTCAACATCGAGGTCTACAGAACAAGCTGTGAGCCATATGTGAGGAAATTCGAACACTTTAACTTCTACCCGAAGTTTGTGCTGATGGTGCCCTTCGGAATAACGACGAAAACCCCAAGACCACACCATCCAGCTCAGAACAAAACTCCATCAAAAACTATATTTAGCCTTTTTGTCATTATCGATTGTACCATTATTTCGATTTTCACGGTTAACAAGAGATAAACCGATCATAATTTTGAATTTCGGCCTCAGTACTCGTATTAGCTTTAAGGTTTGAATAGGGAAAAGCCTATAGTTTATGCTGAAGTAGATTCAGGAAGGTAATACTGAGTTTGCACATACTTTTACTGTATACAGCATATCAATAATTATTTACTGATACTGAATTACTTAGAAATTAAGAAAATAATCAGCCTTTCACAGTTCGTCGGGAAATGAAGAACGTTCACGTTGAATTAACGTCTTTTAAAGCATGATGACTTCTTAGATGGAATCCTAAAAACAGTTAATGGCTCAAAGCTTCTTAGAGATGCTACATACTTTAATGTAATACTCATTGTCTATTGTGTTTTAAAAGATATCATAACTAAATGTTTTAAAAAAGATTCAGAAAGTATGCAAACGTAAAAACCGAACATAGATTACAAATTTGAATGTTTTTATCCTTTTAGTTGAAGAGTTAAATAGGCTTAAGACCGCATAGAATGAAAAACATCATGTAAGATTGTTACAATGTCTAAACATCAGGAGAGAGTTCCAATAACTTTAGAACGTTTAACAAATAAGTTCGACGCATTTAAACGTGACTGAACAAATGAATGGACACCATCAACATCGATTCCAACACAGGTGTGCGCTAGCCCATGTCAAAATACCGTATTAGCATGACAAGATGACGATAAGAAAATAAAGAAATAATATAGTAGTAATACTGAGAAGATTAAGAGTTGGGAATATAATTTGAAAAGGCATGGCTGGAGAGATATTCGAGTTTAATGGCGAGAATTAAGTAAAGATTTAATGTATCTACACCATAATTTCGTCCCATGTCACCCAAAGCCTCCGAACATTGAGCGCGGTTATTATACATACCCCAACCAAGTAATTTGCATCTACCAACAGTGAGTGACTTTATGGACTGATATGATTTTTAGGTTTGGTCACCTCCAGATTTTTTCCGATTTACTTTAACATTAGAAAGCATCGCTTGTCGAGGTTGCCGGTGATTGCATTAATATCAAAAAGCTTTGATATATTGTCGTAAATATTGTAAAACATTTTTATCACACACTGAAAGATTATTTTAAGACCTTCCCTGAAAAACTATTCGAGTTAAACAAGCTGTTGAAGTAGTCCCATCCGAATAAATTCAAGATAAAAAGTACAGCGGATAAACATAGTTATGTAGTAGCGTACTATAGCACGGCATAGCTCGATTACATAATCCTAACTTTCTACTAACTGAGTAGTTAAACACGTCCGTTTACCAAACATAGATTCACGTTTATTGTGAATTCTGATAAGCATTACCCGATTGATAAATTGAATGAAGCAAAATATCAAAGCTGATTTATCACTCGAAGGACCACAGGAACCTTACCAAGTGAAAGTTGAACTAATCAGTAAAGACAAAGCTCTGTATTGCGAAAAATCTATGGATTATAAAGGCGTTACTTTCACAGAACAAGAAATGTTTCTATGAATCGAAAATTCGAAATCTACCATAAAAACAAGTGTCATAGCCATCTTGTCAACAAAAACTGGTTATTACCTCAGGCCACTCGATTTATCTGATGAACAAGTAAAATTACCAACAAAACCCAAGATCGTTGTTTGAAGGTCAGAAGGTTTGCATGCATCAAGAAAATTTGGACGGAGACGACCAAATGAAACTTTACCTACATCCGTAAGACCGATAGTAGCAAAGTAGCCAAAACAAGCAACAATGAGAGAATCATAAATTGGATATAAAACCTACAAAGTTAAAAATTTCATGATTTCTAATCCGATAAACAAACCACCGGTATTCTATGATGAGTTTTTCTTAAAGATTTTGCACTAACAATTACTTCACCGACAACTATCTGAAAGCAAGTTAATATAAAATTCTGAGAGTAGGACGAAAATACCGTAATCAGTATTAGTAGTGAGGAAACTACATAAAGGACAGTACTTGAGATAGTGTTCTGTCTAAATGGTTTTTTGATTGATTCATCTTGAACAAAGTATCCTCTTTTGTACGGATCAACATTCTGCAGAACGGTATTGGTGACTATCACTATAAATTGAGAACGGTTTGTGTGTGAAATAAACTGAAATTACAAGCAACAATAAAACCCAAATCCGATCCCACTCTAATTATACCGTCAATCAAGGGTTTCATAATAGACGATACCAAATAACAGTAGGATCACAACACACTAATGATTTTGAAAATAAGAAAAAATGCACCAGCGTTATTGAAGAACAACATAAAACAAGGAGGAAAAAAACACTTTAAATAATTTTGTAAAGCAAGAAATGAATATGACATCTTTTACCAGTTTTCAGTAGTTAACGTCTAGAAATTTACTAAACAGTAAAGCAATTTTACTTGACAAAAAAAATTTTCAAGTGAACAAGCATTACCAGGACCGGATGGTACCTTCAAGGACATACTGAGTCTTCAAGTAACTAATAATTCTAGGAAACAATATAGGCCTCTTAGTTTATCCACATTTATTATAACTGAAGATTAGCCTTATCAATAAGGGAAAATATGATAGCCAATCTCAATACTGTTTTATCTTGTACTCAACCATATATGGTGATTCTCTATTATCCTATACATACATATAGCACAAATATATCAACCAAACCCAGTTTGCTTGGTTAAACTTAAATATCAACCAGTAGACGTACGTCGTTAAGTAAAATAGGTGGGTAAAAGATACCTCGATCTCCACATTTTCGGGAAAAGTTTGTTTGTTTGGGGTAAATTTTGGGGAAACCGAAACAGAAAACTTTGGGAAACAGCACAAAAACCCCAGCATTTCCCCAGGTCTGGGGAAAATCCACAAATGTTTGAGGAAATTTAGGGTTTTCCCTAATATTTCCACAGAATCTTATAACACTTTGGGGAAAACTACCATATTTCTTACGACTTTGAGGAAAACCCCGAAATTTACCCAAAATAATGAAATTGAAATGCATGAAATTCATGTTGAAACTGCGGATGATTCAATGAAACAACATGTCGTATTCAGTCACACGATGAGAAATTCATGTCATTCTATATATGTAAGACATACATAATTAGGAACTTCAGTCAACAAAACACAAATGTCACGATAAATGTGACATCCTCAAACCCTGCGCGTTGCCGTAGAGAGAATTAAACAGACATAAAAGCACTATAACAAGTGAAATATGATTGATTTATTAGAGAACACTATTCGTCCTTTACGTTTGTAAGGAAGGGCTAAAAGTCATCGACATATAGTGAAATATGTAGTAAATCTTCCTAAAGGATAAATCAATATAAAATCCAGCATTTTTGTCACAAACTTGTATAAACCTATTGATTTCTTGGCTCTCGCTTCTTGTTGTTTTTGTACGGTTCCGGGTATTCCATAATGACCAACAGGTATATTCCAGTCATTTGACCTTTCGTTTTTAAATCCCCTATAGCATGACATACGTGTTGTCGCTCATGAATACACCGATGCACATATATGCATCTTGTTCTCAATTGCCCGGTGTTATAATAACAGGTCTTTATTATACTTACTGTCTGCGTTTACAGATTTCAGTGATATATTCATTATATGCTTTATCTGGATGTACATCTCGAACTATGACGATTGTGATTGGGATTATTAATCACTTATAAATGTGGATTAACAGACCAAAACAAACACAAACATGCCAACTACTGACAATCTGAGTGACATCTTGTATGTTTTTCTTGGATATATAATTTATATTTGATATATTGTCATATTAATTTTTGACGTTGTAGCTTTTTCATTATCTTTGGAATTGATATATTTTTGGTCCACCACAGAAGTAGAGTTTCTGGATACCAGCAGCTGCCACATTACAGACAAGAGGTTGGCCGATTACAGTATAAAAATAATAGTGATAATCCGCGCACTAAGAGAACACGATTGTTTCAAGAGTGTCCAAGAACATTAAAATGATTGATTACGCGAGTAACGGAGATGATAATAAGACAAATGGAAAGTAGTTACTTGTTGTGCAGTAATAATAACTGTGTTAATTTATGAGACATGCACCAGACACTGATGGTACAAAAGGGACATGGTAATCCACAGGTGAGTACTTGTTCGTCAAGTCACCTCTTCAAGCGCTCCATTAAGGGGATGTGGTCAATTTCGGCTGGGATAGCATTCCAGATGAGTCGACTCGTAACCAGAAATTTGAGAGCGTACTTGGGCGTCCGCTCTTTGATGTGCAATCTTTTCAGGAGCGGCTTTGAAGAGTGGGGTATTTATGTTCTGGCGACATGCTGGCGCCGGGGTGTTCCGGTGTGCTCAATGTGTGTGTGTGTCATTACCAGACCACTTCTCATTCTCCTGTAGCTCAGTGAGAATAATCTCAGTATATGTAGTCTGTCCTCGTAAGATTTATGTTTTAGCCCTATTACCTATTTGGTTGCCTGTCTTTGTACTTGGTCCGAGAGATTTATCTCTTCTTTAAGCAAGGGTATTATATCGACCTCATAGACTTCAGGGTGGGGCCATGAGTACGCTTTAAATAGCACCAGGAACAACTCAGAGGAAATTGCGTTAAGTTGCCAAATCACAAAGTGGAGAGTTGTGTTTGTCTTGACTGTATCCTCAATTTAGTTTGAACTGATTTCTAAGCTCTCTGCGGTTACAAGCCCGAGACCATGCTCTGGGAAGATAATCGGGAGTGGATTCCATGGAGAGTGTAATTGCTAAGTGTCGAATGAGGCAGAATGTTCATGACAAGACATTTCGACAGATCAAGTTTTGACCTATTTTTTTAACGGTCATTCCCCTGTTGTCGTAACATTTTTTTCAAGCTCCTGTGAATCTCATCCGCCTTCCATGGATCTCCATATCTTTGCGTCATTTGCATAGATCAGTGCTAACAAGGTTATCTTTACTTGCAGGTCGATAATACAGATTTAGAACAGGAGTGAACCTATCATCCCTTATAAAACTCATGACTGTGAAAGTTTTCAACTGGTGTGCATTCTAGTTAGTAGGTCACCTCTAAGACGCCTGGACTCTTGTAGTGGAATTGAGCCGGGTAAAAGTTTAGTGATTGCGGGCGCTCCTCATTAAGCTTGATACTGGGTCCCCTAGTTGATTTCGTGACTTGCCGCTGAATACGTGCCAGGGAGTCCTTATCCTTTTGGTGTTTAGGAGGAAATACTATATTTATCGCACTCTGGTGACAAATGAAACTGTTCACGATTATGTGGAAAGTTTTTCTGTCGAACTGGTCGAAAATGCGCCCCAATGTTACCAGTGCAAGGTTCGCTCGAAAGGCATTTTTGTCATAGTTAGCGTAAGACTTCAAATCGCAGGGTACCAGCACTCCTAAATCTTTTTCAATTTGAGACACTTCTAGAGGGTAGTCGCCTTAGTTCTATTTTTAGTCTGAGATATGCCACAGATGGACTACTTTACACTTTGAAGTGTTAGAGGTAAGTCCGTTGTCATTTGCTGAACTTTGAAGTCGAGTCAGATCCTTCTGGTTGCGTATCTCTCACAGAAGTTTCTCATCATCGGCAAAATGTAATAAGTCTGACGATACCTGTTGTGGAGGATCGTTTATATAAATCAAGAAAAGAACAAGTCCCAGTGCTGAACCCTGAGGGACCCCACTAGGACACTCCAAAGCCTGAAAGAAATTGAAGTTAACCCAGACCTTAAAATGCCAATATTTTAAATAGGAAGTGGACCGATCAAAAGTGATTGGACACCCAATCGTTTGAGCTTATTGGTAAGACACTTATAATTGACCCTATCAGAGGCTTTTGAGAAGTCGAGGTAAATGACGTCAATCTTCCCCTTGCTATCAGGAATGGTTGTCCATCTGTTCACCACAGTCAGCAGGTTAGTTGTACAATGATGACCCTTTCTGAAACTGTGCAGTTGAGGCGAAAAGAAGTTTAAGGATAGTGAATAGTCATGTAGACCATCGCACATCAGGGAATTCATAATTTTCGAAGGTATAGAGAGAACAGCCACCGGTCGACAGCTTGAAGGTCTGCTGCGCTGACCTCTTTTGAAAATTGGTGTGATGTGAGCCAGCTTCCGAATTTTCGGTAACGTGCCTCGGCTTGGCGGGTGTAAGATCATCACGTCAAGCAGTGTTGCCAGGATTGAAGCTGCTTCCCTCAGTATAGCAGAAGGAACCACATCCGGATCAGGAGAAGTGTCACTTTTAGGTGCTTTCGTTTCTGGCACGCCAAGTCAGCGCTCAGGTTCACTTCGGAAAGCCCTGTGAAGTTGCAGATAAAGCTTTTATCAATAAATATTGTAGTGACTCACGTTTATCACGAGAACACGACTGGTTTAATAAAAACAATTATTATTATAACCAACTGTACCAGTGTTTGTTTTAATGTGCTTTTGTTTGACTGTGCTAATGACAGCTATTTCGTGCTTCCATTCTTATACTTACACTTCGATTGTAACTTCGCGCGAATTCGGTTACCTTCTGTAACCAAGGTTGTATCCTGGCACGATCTCGGTATCCTTTCGATGCCACGAGATCGCCAGCAAATATAACTCGACTTGGTCCATTAACTGCCTTCTGATATTTGGCTTCTCGGGATTTTATGGATCTATTTGGTACGTCCAACCCTCGCCTTCTGATTTATCTGGCACGTGTTTCTTGGTAGCGGTGTTCATAGTTAACCTCAACTCGACGCCACGCTACATTGGTAATCCCATTGGTGACCCGTATTTTGGAACACGCCTCAACTTCTGATCAAATCTTCCAAAGAAGCCAATTCGGTGAGTCTATGATTTATCTATCCACGTCTGTCGTATATTTTCATATTTTTTAATATATAATATACTCGACATGACGGATAACGATAAGAATAGTATTAATATAATAGACTCACATGTATGTGTACCGAATCCTTGTTACTTTTTATTCGCGTGACGATGAATTCCACGCTTTATTCGAGAAAGTTTCCCCTATTAACTGTTCTCCTCGCTGACCCGGCTGCTTGGTACGGAATGCATACGCATAAGCATATCTGTCTACCACCCAGCACCAAATGGTTAAGTAAACGGTTTCACTGCCAACTTAAAAGTGCTATACGAGCACACGAAAACGGCAACTGGCACGAAACCTTACCGCTCGTTCTTTTAGGGATCAGAACGAGCTTAAAGGCAGATATCCAATGTTCCGCCCTGAACTTGTATACGGCACGACATTGCGTCTGCCCGGAGAATTCTTCACACCACGGAGCAGACCTAATTTCGGTAAATCAGACTACGTCCATCGACTGTCTGCATTTATGCGAACGCTGTCTCCGGTGTCAACTCGAATACAACATCGACAGGTCGCTCTCCCTCGAGAGTTATCTACCTGTTCACATGTTTTTGTACGAGTAGATTCGGTACGCAAACCTTGGCAACAACCTTACGAAGGCCCTTTTCACGTGATCGCTCGTCACGAAAAGACCTTCAAGGTTGATCGACATGGCCGCGTCGAGATCGTCAGCATTGATCGTCTCAAACCAGCACACGTCGATGACAGTGCCCTATCTGATAACCTGAGATTCAATGCTAGACCTAGCAAACCTACTAGCGGGATCCTCAAATCATCTTCAGGTCCCACGCTAGATACATCTGAGACCTCATTCTCACGTCCCAGTCAACAGCACGCGTCATCTGCACCGTCTACGGACGAGACGACAGTCTCACGTCCAGATCAGCAGACCACGCCGCCCTTGACTTCGGATGAGATTGCAGGCTCACGCGACGCGAACGAGACTACCGTCTCACGTTCCGGTCGCCGAGTACGGTTACCCGTACGCTTCCGCGACTAGCCGCACAGTTAAAAACGATACGGTGTAGGATTATTCCTATACTACACGCATGCTACACTCTTCTCTTTTTTGATTTTCTTTTTGTTTCCTGAGCCCACGCCTTCGACCATCTCCGTTTGGTTCCGTCGACTTCAGTCAACTTTGGCGAAAGCTGGCCTGATCACCCACGCTCTTGTCAACGTACTCAGTCGATATCTTCGTTTCGAATGTTTGGCACACGCTTGGTCTCGAACTTGGTCGTTATGGTCGCTTCTGGTTCATCGGCTCAACGTGGTTTCGTCCTACGTCTGCAGCGTTTCTGGTCCGGACCCCTACGAACGCCATCTTCAGAT